GGCAGAGATTGGATCGGTTCTTGGGTAATGACCTATTTTTTAACCACTATGACTCCATTGTAGAACTTCACCTAAGGAGGTCCTCTTTGGACCACACACCTCTTATTCTAGCCTGTACTACTCACTCTACTTGAGGCCCAAAATCGTTCAAAGTCCAAAATATGTGGCTAACTCACCACACATTTTGGACACATTTTCTAATACCTGGTTTTCAATCCAAAAGGGGGGAGGGATGCACCAGTTATATGATAGCCTACAAGCCACAAAGAAATGCCTAAAAACCCGGAACAAAGCTATTTTGGGTGATATTTTTGAGGAAGCACAGAAAATAGAGACATTGGCCCAACAGGCTGTAGAAAAATATATCTCGGATCCATCCCCTCAGAATCGGGCAGAATGGTCAAGGACTCATGCTGATCTCCTACTAAGACTCAAACAGCAAGAAATGTTTTGGAGGAAACAGGCCAAAATAAAGTGGTTAACGGAAGGGGAAGCCCACACTAAGTTTTTTCATAACTACGTGGGTCAAAAAAGGGGGGTCAGACTATCCAATCTATTAAGGAAAAATAAGGGAACACTTTACATGACCTGAATGGAATTCAGAAAGCAGCCATTGAGCATTTTGAAAGTTTCTACTCTGCCACTCCAATCAATAACCCCGACTCTCTACTATAATTCCTGACCCCAACTATTCTACTGAAGAAAATTCCCTTCTCACCATTTTATTTTAATAGGAAGAAATAAAAAATGCGGTGTGGTCTCTCAGTCAGGACAGTACCCCGGGACCGGTGGGTTCAATGGGCATTTTTTCAGGTCATGTTGGAGCATCATTCAAGATGACCTTACTTCGGCTGTTCAGGAATTTTTCTTGGAGATTCCAATTCCCCAAGCATTGAACACCTCCTTCATTACTTTAATACCTAAAAAAAATCCCAGCCATTTTAACCATTTCCGTCCTATTAGCCTAACTAATTTTGTAAATAAGGTTTGCACAAAAATTTTGGCAAATAGACTGAAGCCACTTCTCCCAAAAATTATTTCAAAAGAGAAAATTGGCTTTATGGAAGGTGAAAATATGCATCAACACATTCTGTTGGCTCGGGAGATCCTCCACCATCTTGACACTAAGGCCAGAGGCGAGAATGTTGCGATCAAACTGGACCTGGCCCAGGCTTTTGATCGAATATCGTGGTCTTTTTTGGAAGGGGCTTTATCCAAACTGGGCTTCGATAAGAGGTTCTCTCATCTCATCATGAGCAATCTGGAAGCCAATCGTATTTTCGTCTTGATCAATAGTTATCCTTGTGGCTTTTTTTAGCCATAGAGGGAGGGGGGTGAAGCAGGGAGACCCCCTATCCCCCTATCTTTTCATTATTGCTATTGAATGCTTCACTCGGGTTTTACATAGCCTTTTACAACATCTTATTAAACCATATATAATTGGAGGACTCCCCAGCCCGACGGCTCAACTGGGGTACGCAGATGATCTTTTTCTCTTCCTCAATGGCTCCTCTTTTGTTTAGCTGATTTGGTTTTTAATAAGGCCTTAGCAGATTTGGGGTGTAAGCATTATATTGACTTATCTTGATCCGTTGAGCTCCTATGGAACAAGGGATAGTAAACTTATCTGGATCCTTGAGCTTTTTGGGCATCTCTTTCAACACCACTGTCGAGCACTCCTCATTTAGCACCACTGATGTTGGTTCCCCCCACCTCCTTTTGTTTGCTAGGAGTTCTTTCATAAACTTGGCATTTGCGATAGTGCATCCATGAATGGTAAGTTAATCTGAACTTGTTTAATGAGGTTCAGAAACTTATCACACTCACCACTATAACTCTTTCTCTTCAATCGTGCCGGAAAGGGGGAGAGGTGGGCAGTAGGCTTTGACTGGAATGGGCTGTTTTGGGGCTGCCTCCACCTCTTTCTTTTTTTCTTCTTCCTCTCGGGGTTTACTTCTTTGGGCTCAACTGTTGCAGGATCTTTTGGTCGTGCATCTGGCTCAAGCTCCCTTCCACTTCTCAACATAATAGCGTGAACATGCTCTCTTAGATTATTCTCAGTGTTACTAAGACTTGGGCCTTTGCAAGCTGACCCACTTGATTTTGTGTGGTCTGAAGACTTGCTGCAGTCGTTTACATAAACTTCTTGAGTGTTTCTGCCAAGCTGATGTGGGCTTGCTGCCATTTAGGCATCTTCTGTTCTTGAGGCAAGGCCTGATGTGTCTGGGGCTGCCCGGATTGGTTGAAGCTCTTAAACTGTTGCTGGTCCCATGCTCGTATTTCTCATACTGCTGCTGATTGTAGGGCTGATTGTAGTAGCCCTGCCTCTGAAAATTAATAGCATCAACTTGCTCCACTTCAGAGGCTGCCAGGGTATGGGCCATCGTATTACATTCATGCATCCAATGGATGCCCCAAGCCCCCGACACGTACTTCATGATGGACTAATGGGTCCAAAGGCTACCATATTCACACTAGGCCCTGAGGAAGCAAGTTGCATCTTCTTTATATTCTCCACACTTGTTTATAGCTTCTGCATCATGCTGGTCAATGTATCCAGGCATGCTGAAAGTGCTGAAATCTCACTGATCTCGTATAGGCCTGAAGCGTTTTGTTGAGCTGAACTCCTTGAGTTGTACCATGAAGTATTGTTGGTAACTAATTTTTTTTTTAATTGTAACAATGGTGGTGATAGAAGAAGCACCAAAACTCATACCTTGAGCAGGAGTAGCAAAAGACGTAGGTAACGACATACCAGAGGGACGGATGACGACTGGACCGATGGGTGAGAGCGACAGGAGCACTCCTTGGTTGCCCGAGAGGGTGGTGCCTGCGAATCGCTCACCGTCGGTGATGCTGGATTCGGCGAAGGCTATGTCTTGGCGCTGGAGCGGCTGAAGTGTTGGTACTGTCGGAGTCCATGTAAAGATGGGAGGGACACACGTCCCACAAGGAAGAGCGCTCGTCTGTGGACGACGGTGCCGCGATGCTGGCCGAAGACGCTGGCTGAGTCTCCACTGCGATCGGAATCGGATGATCCCTCACCGGCGTAGATGAGGCGGTGGTGACAGTCGAGACGATGGCGGCCGGTGGTGGTGTTAGGAGAGGCCATTGATCCGAAATTTTTTTATGACTGCCTAAAACCTAGAGCTCTCGATATCATGTGAGAAATAATGAGAGGCTTACCAATGTGGTAGCCCTAGATTTCATATACTACGTATATAATAAATAAGGATGTTTTCTTTTGGACTGTTTTCAGTCTCAGACTAGATCAGATCAGACCAGACCAGATCAGACCAAACCAGACTTCCGTAGTTATAAAATACAAGAGACCTGACATTTACCAGACCAGACCAGACTAGACCAGCAAATTTCAGTCCAAAAAAAAAACATCCTAAGTGTTCTGAGTGCATTAGGAAACCTAATAAATATGGAAACCTAATTAAAGTATTACTTACACTATTACTAATGTCAACTTGGTCAAATAGCTCATACTTTGTACTAGTTATAAAATATTGTCAACTTCTAAACTAATTAACTCACACCATCAAAATCAGACTTGTCAATGAATTTGCAACATACAGTTCTTGTATTCACAAAAAACCTCCACATAAATTTGCATAATACATAATGAAAAGGAAGATGGATTTTCCTTCACAGGACTCCGATCCCAAGACCATATCAACTATCATTTCAGCGGTTCCTAGGGCTTATGTATATTTTTTCCATGAAATAATTTCATCAAGCAATTCACTCATTGTCTGTTACAGCTGTTCACAGATAACACGTAAGAGTCGGTTTGGATGAATGGTTGAGATAAGAAACTATCTAATGGCAAATTATTTGTAGCTTTCCCCCCTGAAAAATGACAAAATTAAATACATAATACAAAATGCTCTCATTCCCAATGGAGCCTACATCAAGGAAACCTTTTACAATAATGGAAAATTCACTTTGAGAATTAAAAATTAAAGATGAGGCCGGGTTTTAGTCCTTATTCGGCAAAGTGGTGAGGTGTAGAATTGGGTTCTCTATAATAATGAACCTAACCGATTTTGAATCGAGAAATGTGAGTTTGTGGGGTTGATATAAAATTCATTTTGATAAAATAAGAATGATTTGAAAATACAAAAACTTTATCAAATTCATTTTAAGACAATCGATCTTAGTGGGACGAACCGAAATGGAAATATGAGATAATCTTAGCGGGCCGGACGGAAGGGGTACTGTATGTAGAACGGAACCCGCATCTACAAATACTTTTGTCTATGTTCCACAATAAGACTAAGAGCCCGTTTGGTAGTACGAAAATCGGTTGATTTAGCTGATTCTGCTGAAATTTACGAAGTTTTAACTGAAGTGGCTGCATTGGCTGATTTAAGAAAAAAATATTTTTAAAATATATTTTATTACTAAAATAAACAAAAAATTATACGTAAAAATAACTAAAATGGTTATCTACAGTAACTTCAGCCAAAGCAGCCAGAAAAGTAACTTCAACCTTATTTTTTATACTTATTACACAATTCAGTGCGTGAAAGCAAAAGTTACGTGTTTGGTGAAAAAATTGACTGATAAGCCGAAAAACTGTGGTTCCAAACGGCCTCTAAAAAATTATAACATATTTTACACCGGCAAAACAAAAAAGAGTAAAAAAATACTAGTAAGCTAATAAAACAAAAAAGACTTGCTATTGTACAAAAGTGTACGTTAGGTGACAGAATGCCCTTCGCCGATGACTTAAAAAGTGTAGGCACCGGCATATTGCAATATAATAAATGCACGGAAGAATTTTGGTAATAAGTACTAAGTGATTGATGGAGTGAACGTGCGGAGGGATCCGTAAATTTGAAATTGGGTGGCCGCAGGCAAAGAAATTCATAGAGCAGATTAATTAGAGTGGATTATGGAGTTGCTTCACATGCACCAGCTAGCGAGTGTAATCGATCTTCTCGCCGATCTGGATGCTATAAAACCCCCCAGCCAGCAGCCCCCTTCAATTCAATTCTCATCGCATACCAATTCAGATCATAATTAATATACCAATTAGTAATATACATACATACATACATACATAATGGCAATAAGGTTGGAGTTGGTTTTCGTGGCTGTGCTGTGCATGCTTGCGGTCACTGCCCCACGCCATGCAGAGGCCGTCACTTGCTCTCAGGTTGCGACCAACTTGATGCCTTGCGTCGCCTACTTGAAGGGTAACGCAGCATTGACTGGGAATTGCTGCAGTGGCGTTACTAATCTGAATGCCATCGCTAATAACACCCCCGAAAACCGCAAGGCCGCTTGCCAATGCTTGAAACAACTGGCCAACACTAACAGCGGCATTAAGCCTCAACTTGCCAAGGATCTTCCATCCCAATGCAATGTCAAAATTGGTTATGTCATCAGCATGGACACCGACTGCAACAGGTACAGCTATATATGTCCCTCGTATTCATCTCCTTACATGCATATACTATTCCATCTCATGCATTTCATTTCATCCAAATCATTTATGCATCCTTGCATACACCTAGCTAGCTAGTACAATTGCACTCATTACAGGCTAATTGTTTTGGTTTCATTTTCATTCCTGTTGCAGCCTTAATTAACTAAGAAGATCGAAACTATAGATGTGTGGGCGAACATCCAGCCGTGTATGCCACGCCCGGGGTTCTCCAACGTCAATGACCTTATACTACTCCATTATATATATATATATTGTAACAATAAAAATCATTATTATTAATGCGTGATAAAAATAAATATGTACTCAGATAGGATGAAATATCCCAAAATAAGTTAGCTGTGCTAGCCAATTAACCCCGGGGTCTCATCTGTACGTGTATGTTCCTCTGCTGTGAGTTTTGAACCTTTTAATTTCCTCTCTTGTCCACTCATTCTCTTTTCATTTTGTATCAATATATATGCACGTTTAATTTGAACTTTTTCATTTTGTATATCAATGTAACTCCGAATTTTATTTTCTCATCTGGTTTTTTTTCCACAATCTCAAATACTATGTTCAGATATAGCTAGGATTAACGTGCATGAAATTGCTGATGGGGAAAAGTTATATAAAGGCCTAGAGAGCGAGAGAGAGACAAATTCCATTAAATTATATTTACATGACTATCTCTCTCATGTAAAATCACGTATAAGAAGCCCTATTTGACAGATTCCATGAGATCCTTTAGAGAGAAAGCTTTCTAAAAAATTCTCCATGCTAGAGAAGGTAAATGAATATATCACCTTCTTAATTCATATATACTACGTATATGATTAGGAACTCATTATCATCATTGGCAAAATAACCACGAAATGATAATTATGATTTCAAGATAATAATTGTTTGGTTCCCAATTATAGACGAATCCATACAAACATGAACAGCCCTAGTTTGGACGAATCTATACCACTCTTCAAATTATAACATTTTCTCCTTCATGTTCTACAACTGACCCGGTTACATCACGTTTGGACGAATTGATGATAAATATATCTATACCATTATCACCTATATGATGTATTTACCGGCACACAATGTTCCACAACTGACCCATACAAACATGAAACTGCCACCCTTAACTATAATAGCTTACACCTAGGCATGAACCCGGGTCGATTCGGTCCCAGTCCTGGTTCCAGGCAAAGACTGCCCAGTCCTTGCCAAATAATAGTGAAACCCGGACCTGACCCGCTTATTTCTGAGTCCCGGTCCCGCTAGCTTTTTTTACTGATCTGAAATAAAAAAAATAAAAAAATATCTTGCGATCGAAACCGGGGCCGCCCGGTTCGGTCCCAAAATAGGTATTCTGGAACCAAGTACCCAAATCCACTGAACACGGCCAGTCTCAAGTCTGGGTACAAAAAAACCAGACCCGATCCGAGCCCAAACAGTAGCAGACCCGACTCTGTACCACGTTCATGCCTACTTACACCTCAGATTTTGGCTTTCACGTCGACATAGGGAAGGACTAAAATGTTTAAAATAATATTAACTTGCCTAATATTTTCTTAAACGTCTTTATAGAAAATATTTTATAGAAAATATTTTAAAGAGTTTTCAAGTCTTGATCATGCAAATGAGACTTGATATTTTGGATCACCTTATTAGGGGTATAATTTTCACTTAAAACTAAATTTTCAAGTCTCATCTAGTTGCCTCACGGCCCTCACTAGTTTCCACAAACTATGTTAGTTAAATAATATCAGTGTTATGTGTTACTATGATTAAGGTTGGTATGTTTAAGTGTACGACTGTACATTCTTGTCTTAGATCGATCTAATTTTTTTAAATCTAATTAAGTTTAGTCTATTCTTATCTGAACTAAAATTGAAATCGTTTCAAGTCCAAACATCGATTGTCATCCAAATAGGACAACAAACACAAAAAATACGTATCTATATTCCTTAATTTGCAATCCTTATAATTTAGGGTTTTTACTTATATAGTACTACGTTATTGATGTTCAATTCTAAAAAGGGAAAGTTCCTGAAATGGGATAAAAAACGTTTGCAAATTCCAAAATAGGACTGTCATGTTTTTATTCCCTAAATAGGAGTAATTACTGTCAAGTTTGTAAAATACTGTCATGTTTAAAGTCTGGTACTGCCAAAACATTACAGTAATTAGTCCCATTTGGGGAATTAAAAATATGACAGTCTCATTTTGGAATTTACAAACGTTTTAGTCCTATTTAGGGTAAATTCTCTTAAGTGGCTACGTTTACATATGAATAGAGCAGTTGACTAAAATGGTAAAAAAAATTGGAAAATTGTGAATGTAACTATGAGGTTATTACGCCACTAATAGTTTTCTTATGTTACTACAAATGATTGTTGTGTCATTGTTGTAACCGCCATTGTCATTGCCACCATGATACAAGTACTCACAGTGACGGTCAGAGATTTTTTGGACAACTTTTTCTCACAAATTACAAAAAAATGGAAAAAATAGAAAATTTCCCAAGCAATTTTCGTGGCGCCTTTAACAATGGACAGAGGGGTTCAAGCAAAAACCGCCCACCGTGGTTGCCGGAGGCAGAAGTGGGGCAGGGGTGGGCAATGGAGTAGGAATTATATTAGATGTAGAAGAAATGTATATTAATTAAACAAATGTTAGTAGAATTTTTAGAAAAATAAAGAAAAATCATATTTTTACCTTCTAAAAGTGTAGAGATAGTATTTTCCCAAAATTTATACTACTTAAAAATTAGGTCTTTATATACGCAAATTATATCGTGCAACCGGCGCACCATGAGGATGGTGCGCCCGGTTGCAAAACGACGGAGTATTGTGTCTGGTTTCTTTATTTTTTATTGCTTTTGTTGCTAAAAAATGTTAATAATTTTTTTATTTTTGATCCGATTTTTATAAAATTTATATCAACATTTTTTATTTTTCATGATCTTTCAAATGAGACCAATATTGCTTATGTAATTTTAAGAAATTATCGAACTATTATATTAATGAGTATTGGATTATAAGGAAAATTGAACTAAATTTAATACAGAAAAATAATTGTGTAATCCACAATTTATCTTAAAATTGTGTATATAAAAAATTTATTGTGTTATGTATTTATACATGTGAGTTACATATTTTTACACGTAAAGTTACATATTTCTACACGCGAGTTACATATATATACACATGAGTTGCATTTGACCTGCCTGAACGCGAGTTACATATATTTACACGTAAAGTTACATATTTTTACACGTGAAATTACATATTTATACACGCAAGTTACATATTTATACACACGAGTTGCATTTGACCTGTCTCAACGCGAGTTACATATTTTTTTACGTAAAGTTACATATTTTTACACGTAGAGTTACATATTTATACACACGAGTTGCATTTGGCCTGACTGAACGTGAGTTACATATTTTAACACGTAAAGTTACATATTTTTACACGCAAATGTTAATATGTTAAAATTACATAGGCAATATTGGTCTCATTTGAAAGATAATGAAAAATAAAAAATTTTGATATAAATTTTATAAAAATCGGATCAAAAATAAAAAAATTATTAACATTTTTAAAAAAAGGAGAAATACAAAATAACAAAGCCAAAATATACGAACTGATTCTTCGCTCTCCCAGGTATACCATGCGCACCGTGGGACGGTTGCATGGTATACGAACTGCTTTATATATGCTTAAAGCGATCACATCTATGCTCTCTAAATAATCTGTTTCTCACATCTAAATTACATTGAGATAATTCCTTAACTAGGACTAAAACTTAATAAAAGTGCACAAATAGGAGTCCAGGGATCCGTGTAATTCTATAGGAGTAAAAAGGAGCGTGTTGAGTAGAATACCCTTAATTAATGCTTTGCTTTCTTAAAAACTTATAATAGGCAATGAGAGTTAGGTCATTTTAGGCATATGAAATGTGTTGGTGTAATAGGAGAGCAATATATAGTTGTACTCTAAGCTTTACAAGTTGTACTCTTATTTTATTCCATGAGTTGCCGTTTACACTTCCGTTAGAATAAGGCTGGACAACAACAATCCAAGATCATTTTTGCCCTTTCTTTACCGGTGCCTCCCCGATTCATTCCATTTGAGTTCATTTCAAATTTAATCATTTTTTAAGATATCATTTAATGTAATCTTTTAAATGTCGTATGGCTGTAAGTTGCCTCCATATTTGATCTTTTTTCTCAAATGGCTGATCACGGTTTTATATTCTCTACCTCATAATATGAATAATACTTTTAGTTTGATGCTCGATTGTAGTTCCCTTTTTTGCTTCGATTGTTCTAAATATTCATTTATCAATTTTTTTTAAATCAAATAACTAATTTAATATTAAATGATCGCAAAGATACAAGAGAATGAATAGCCTAAAGCTACGATGGGATGATAGACGGAACAAATTCAATGAATCCTTCCAGATTCCTAACCCTGCAATAATGTTGTTTAGTATAACAACTTTGCTGCTCTTCTTGCTACTCCGAAGAGAGAATAAAAAATTACAACTAAAAGATCCGGCTTCACCAGCATAATGAGCAAAAAATGTTTATTAATAGGACCAAAAGATGAACTTTTAATTAAGTACGGAGTATTAAGAGTCAAAAAAGAAATGAAGAGTGGGTTGACACTTGACAGGGAGGGGCGTGTGCATGATAGTGGGGATGATGTCATCCCTGCATCATGCCTGCATCGTTATTATTCCAATTTTTTTTTACTCTTATAACTTTTTATTTGTTCTCAAATTTTTTCAAAAAATATATCAAAATTTTTATTTTTTGTGATGACACAAATATATAATAAAACTAATAAACTATAAATTTTTCAATGTATTTTTAAGGAGGTATTTAAACTAATATTAAGTATAAATACCTAAATTATGAGTAATACTCATAATTTTAAATACTTATATGTTATAACATTTATAATATTTGTTGCTTGTAGATGGGATTGTTTGTTAACAAATTGCTGATGTTTTACATATATTCATGGGCTAAAGGGTCAAATAGACCCATATACTCGTTCGGAATGCTCAATTCGCCCCCTGAACTAAAAAAAATCTTCAATTGCAACTCTGAACTGGATAAAAAGTTTCAAATTTAACAATTTAGAGGTAACTATTCGGTCAACGCCATGTCATCAGGTCGTGTGCCAACTGTGCATCTGGTGTTGCAACTCGATCAAGGAGTCAACTCGAACAATTTAGAGGTAACTATTCCCTGAACCCAACGGAATTGTTCAAATTAATAATGTAATAATTAGGGCTTACTTTGTAATTCTTCATAACTCTGTTTTATTATAAATACAAGGCTAAGGCACCCAATAGGGTAAGCCATTATTCTCTCAATTATATTTTCGTATATGGTATCAGCCGCCTAGGTTCTTTTCCTCTTTTACGTTCCACCATGGCCGGCTCCCATCCTACCGCCGCCATACCTTCGGCGCCCTCCCAGCAGGAGCAGCCATCATCAGCGAACCTCGGCATCTCCCAGACGACGACCGCGGCATCCTCAGCGCCCACCCAGACGGAGCAGTGAATCCCAGGAACCTTTCAGCGTGCCGTAGGTGCCGATTCCTCCATTGACG